CCCCAAAACCCCAAAACCCCAAAACCCCAAAACCCCTAATATTTATTAAATATTGATAAATGGATGATCAGGAAGAAAAAGAGCCTCTAGGCTCGGGGTATTCTCATACTAGTAGCACAGAGATTCATCTTGCTGAAGACACTGAAAAGGAATCTCCGAAGCTGAATAAACTTTACATGTCTTCTTTGGTTTTCTTTTCAATCATTGGAGGTTTCTTGTTTGGGTATGACACCAGTGTTATTGCAGGAGCTAACCTTTTTATAAAGTATGATTTCGATTATTCTGACTTCCAAAAGGAACTTGTTGTTTCAATGACAACATTGGGAGCAGCTATCGGGTCCTTAACTGGAGGTCCGATTTCAGATAAATTAGGTAGAAAGATTACAATATTTGTAGCGGATTTGGCCTTTGTGATAGGCTGTGTTATAATGGCCTTTACTCCATCTATTCCAGTACTGATTGTGGGAAGATTTGTGGTAGGCATTGGTGTTGGAATAGCAGCCATGGTAGTCCCTGTTTATATAGCAGAGATCTCTCCGAAAAATATCAGAGGAATTTTGGTTAATTTAAATGTTGTTTTTATTGCAACTGGGCAGTTCTTGGCTCTTGTTGTCTGTCTTTTACTTGGAAATAGATGGAGATATATGCTTGGACTCGCAGGAATACCAGCATTACTTCAAGGGATAGGAATTATCTTCATGAGCGAATCCCCAAGATGGCTTTTTAAAAATAACAAAGATTCTGAAGCAAAGAAGTCAATCAGAAGAATTTATAAGGAGTCTGAAGAAAATTTATAAGCGAAATAATACATGAACAAAAAGAAGAGGCTAATAAAGTTAAACAGTATGAAAGCTACTCTTATTTTGTTTTGCTCAAGCAATCCTTTACAAAATATTGACCATGTCTTCTTGTCGGATGTGGACTACAAATGTTCCAACAATTATGTGGTATAAATACAGCAATGTATTACGGTCCTGATATTATGCAAGCAGCTGGATTTGGAGATAAAGATAATCCCAAAGAAACTCTAATTAGCTCTCTTCCTCTGGCCTTTGTAAACGCAGCAGGAGGAGTCATTGCCTGATTCTTTATAGACCGAATGGGAAGAAGATGGATCTTACTTCGTACATTACCCTTCGTTGCTCTTTTTATGGGTTTCATCGGACTAGGAATGGGATTAAGGAATCATACAAATGAAACTCAAAATCTAGCTCAACAATTTGGAAAATGGTTTGCAGCAAGTGGAATTTTCTTATACCTCTTAGCATTCTCGATTGGAATGGGCCCAACTCCTTGGACTGTTAATTCGGAAATCTACCCATTACATCTCAGAGGAGTTTGAAATAGTCTCTCTGCTACTACAAACTGGGTATCAAACTTTGTTGTATCCCTAAGTTTCTTGACATTGCTCAACCATGTCCCCTATGGCGATGTTATTGCATTTCTCTTGATCCTATGATTTGCATCATTCACTCTACTTTTCGTGTTCAAGCTTCTTCCTGAAACCAAAGGTCTGACACTTGACAAAGTCCTTGAACTCTTCGTTAAGGAAGAAGATGAACAATTTGCAATTATGGATGACTAAAGCTGCAATAATCTTGAAAATAGTATCAATAATACACATTCTGAAAGGGGTTTTGGGGTTTTGGGGTTTTGGGG